TTGTCCTCCAAAAGGTTATTACATTAGGAAGGTTGTATCTATTAGCTTGGGATTGCTCTTGGCTTATCTCAGTATTTCTGTTGTACAGAATCTTCTCTCCAGTAGACAACAGATGAATACTAGCTTTGAACCATTGAGGATTATCAACACATACGGAGCTTTTGGCAGGTAAACAAAGACATCAATATGTTTCAGAAATTGTAATAAATCCTCTCTCTCCCTCTCTCTACTACACTCTCCTTTTATCTCCTCTCCTTTCCCTCCCTTCTCCTCTCCTCTCAGATTCCAGCTGAACAAGGTCAGACTTATGCATCAGAAGTTAATGCCATATTTGCAGAGACTAGTGCCCTCACTGCTAGGAATGTTGAGGAAATGTTCATTGAAATAAGTGAGTAGCTACTAATGATGTACTGTAGTATGTACTATTGCAACATAATCTCTCTCTCTCTCTTGTCTCATAGCTCGTAAGTTACCACCAGATTGTTTAACTAGTTTACCAGCTGGTGCCTCTCTCTTAAGACAGACTGATACACCACGTGCTAAGGGAGGATGCTGTGGAGGAGGGGGAGGGGACAAAGGACCATCATAATAGTTCAGTTATAATAAGATAATTAATTTAATGATTATTATTATTTTTTATTATTGGGGCAAGCCTGAGCGAGCCCCACATAAACAAGACGAGTATGTATGCATGTATGTTTGTTTGTTTGTTTCGTACACATATGTCACCCCTATTTATCCGTATGTAAAATTTTCCACTTTTAATAAACTTGATATTTCATTGAAAAGTTGTGGTCACAGTGAAATAAAATGGCGGCCCAGTATCATAACTGGAAATTGAGCTGGAAATTTTTGCAAGACTGATTCGACTGTAGTGTACTGTTGTCCAAATGCAGCAAGGAAGGTTAAGAAAGCAGACATGCCATGTTCTTCATTGATGTAAATAATTCTGATGAAGTGAATGTCAGTCATAGCCTGAGCCTGAACTTGAACTAATTTCATGAACTTGGAGCATGCAAGAAGCCATAAACTACATTGCTACAGATGCCTATCTAGCTTTATCATTTGTGCAATGACTGCTTATAGCTAACATTAATACTTGCTAAATGCTATAAGCAAGGTAGCTTTAATTGTTGTAGAGAATTAAAGGTAGATTATTATCAAGAACTACTCCCATAATTCCATGAGCTCTGAGCCTGCTTAGTTGCACCACTCCAATATCTATTGCATAATTATGCTTGAGTATTGTATGTTAGTCTGTCAAGATCTATTGTATGTACATTGCTTTGCTTGCTTAGGCTCGCCCCTTTAATGTTTTACATTCGTCTAGATATTATTATTATTGGGCGAAGAGGTACGTCTGGGTGTGACTGGGAGGTGCGGTCAAAAGGCGGAGCCCCTCAATGCTTTACATTCTGTCTAGATTATTATTTTGTATTTACTTGTTTCTGTACGTGTTTATCATAAATCACTTTGTTAATTATTTTGCATTTAAATTAATTAAAACAATGAGTCAGTATTGTCAATACAAAGCAAGTTATTATTAATAAAATATTACTCTATCTTTTATAATATTGTAGTTATCGTATTTTGTGCTTGTGTCTTTGTGTTTCATATCTAGAATGAACTGCTTTATATTTTTATTAATTGTTAACGATTGAAGAATTAGTAATATTCCATCAGATGATATTGAAGTACGTCTTACTGATAATAAAGTTAAGGTTGAATTGTTGATAATTAGTTCAGAAAGAGACTGAGCACTAACTGAAGTAATACGAGGATTATCAAGAAAAGATAACCCTATAAGTGTGTTATTGTGTGTTTGTAGTACGTTTGTAATATCAGCAACTGATTTGTCATCAATGGAACAGTTAGTAAGAAATAAATCAACTAATGATTTATTATTAGCCAGTAAGTTACATAAGGATGAGATGCAGTCCTGTGTTAGTTGAGTGTATCGTATTCTTAAGTGTTTTACCTTTTCATTTTGTAATAAAACTGGCAACAGATCAAACACAACATCAGGAGATGATTCGTTGATGATAATGTCCCTATGTTTGTATGTTAATAGAGAAACTACTTCTTGACATTGTATTAAAGATGGAGAGGTCAGTTTAACACCATCATCATACCACTTGATTGCTTTAGGTTTTCCTGAATACATAAACAATTATAATTAATTACTGTATTATCAACTATAATTCTCTACTATCATATTTTTAATGGCAAACACTTATGTATAGCTGGTTATTTTTATAAATTTTATAATGTACACCATTTACATTTTGCCAAAATTTTGATACACAAAAATACAAAATTTTGTATGCTAAAACCCCTTAATTTTAATTAATTCTCAAAATAATAGTATTAAAATTGCAGATCATGGACAAAATCTAATACCCTCAAAATACTCTATAGATTATTAGTACATATACATGTAAATACATCTTACCATGTTCTTTTCTAATTTGATTTAGCAGAACTGAATCTTGTTTAATTAATGACCAAAAGTGACTTGCTCTCTCAACGTTGCTCCTCGTCTTAATTTCCTTGATTTTAGGTATGTCAACATTTTTTGTCATTGCATAATGAAATAGTTCAAGTGATTCCAATGTTGACAGTTCACTCTCTTCATCTTTTTTAATATCACTAATATAAACAAGTCCCTCTTGATCAGTATCTAATGATCTTGCTAGCCACCATCCATTAGTACGCTCTTCCTTGATCTCAAGTTTCTCTCCTTTTTTGATTGAAAGATCACCACTTTCCCTTGCCTTGCAGTCTCCAATAGCTACATAAACTGGTCCTTTTGGTGGATCTATTGATTGTGTAGACTGATCCTTTCCTAAAATACCAGTACTAGTCATTATGTTAATATAATGTAATACATACTAAGAGTAATTGAAGTTTCTTTCAGTTGTTGTATATTCATTAATGATATCCTTTCCTGTAACTGATCTATCTCCTTTTCTCTTTCAGTTAATGTTTTCTCTACTACTATTAACATTTCTTCTATTCCTAGTCATTAATAATAGTCATTAATACACATCAAAAAATGGTCGCTAATTTAAAAAAACATTACAAATATTTATCAATAATTTGTGTATTATTCAATTGCATGTAAGAAGGACTAAAGTCTATTCAGTTTCACCTGACCTATTGATTTTTTGTTATAACTTTTCATAACCATGGAATTTAGAAATTTTGTTTGTACCATTAGAATCGCTAGGTCCTTCCCGTCCTTTAGATAAAAAGATCAGGTGAAAATGATAAGGCCTTAGCCTTTTTTGGATGTCCCTGTATAAACTCAATGACATACCTTTGACCGCAATTATGCAGCTAGAACTGCCAGAATAAATTCAGCTGCTACTTATCTGCATCCTTTCGGTGCAACAAAAACAATTCCAAAACCACAAATACGTAAAGAATGCGGATGTGACGTAGTTATTTATTAATTGAAAAAAGCCAGGGGTCAGGTGAAAGTGAATAGACTTTAGTATTAGTATTGAGTATATAAAATCATCCTCCTACTATAACAAATTAATGTACAAGCAATAATGATACTCTAAACACAGCTGTACTCTATTGTCATTATACAGTATTAAGTATGTCTGTATATATACCTGTTTTGCTTACAAGAGATGATCGTAAATGATCTATTTCCATTTGCATTGCTTTTGCCATCTTCTTTTTACTATTTTCCTTCTCAGACTCTAAATAATAAAAATGAACCAATTAAATTATTAGCAACAACAATTCAGCTAGCTACATGATGTATTTATTCAAAATTCATGCACATGACAATATTCATAGATATCATGTCTCAAAACATGAATGTTATTGTACCTGATGATTGTATTGATGACTCATTGCTTTCATCAACTTCTCTACCTCCATATGAGATACCTTTAAATTATCAATAATTATAATTAATAATAATTAGTATATACCTAATGTGTCTATTGTACCCTTCAATTTAGCATTCTCCTCAAGTAAATCATCTCTTTCACTCTCTACCATCTCCAGTTTCTTCATTAGACTCTTCACCTCCTATCAAATATTAAAGTATACTATTAATTTATATACACATACATTCACTAACCTCATCAATTGCATGTTCATCATACACAGTATAGTAACCAATAGTTAAACTAATCAATCCCATCTCCTTTAACATATCAACGTTATCTCTAGCTGTCACTAGTAAACTCTCCATCAGATAATGAGGAGCATAACAAGTAACAATGATGGAGTTCCCTTCCTTGATCACTACCACCTCCACTTGATTATCCTTGAACGTTTTCCATAGGAGGGCTCTGATACTGGACAGAGAATGCTCACTTGGATTCCATTTCAGAACAAACTTGATCGTCTCACAAGTGAGGAGAGAAGAGGATAATCTCTTAAGCTGACGATCACAAAACATTGTTAATTTGTTCTCACAGAATTCATCCAAGTGTGTCTGATAAGCTAATATCATGTCTCTAGCATCTTGTATTGAGTATTTATTCACTATAGTCTCCAATAGAGCAACGTTAGTGATAGAACACTCATCCTCAATCACTTCCATAACATCATCAAAGCTGTTGGCATCTTTCAATCGAGGCTTTAAATCTCGATGACACCTTCGAATGTAGGTCTTCAAATCATTGACAGAGGGTATGGCTGCTTCAATAAGAGGAACAATATTGTGAATAAGTGTACCAAGCTTATGTTCCATTCTATCAAACTCAGCTTCATAGCCAGGATGAACTATGACCTCTACTACACCTATAATATAGTGTAATGACATTGAATTGGGTATAATTAATGTTACTAACATTGTGCAGTAGCATCAGTATTGGTAGTTACTTGAGTCTCACTACTACTATCTTGTAATTGTCCAGATCCTGTATTTATTATAATAGTCAATGTATATATGTTATATTATATCATTACTTGAAGATGTTGAAGTACTTGCTTCTTGACAAGATGGCATCACTGTTACTGCTGAAGGAAATGACTTTCCTATTGTAATAGAATATAAATAAGTTAAGTGTATTTATAAATCTGTTCATTTACCATATTCCATTATTATATCACTAGCTAAAGACACTGCTTCCTTTGATTTTATTAGAATGCTTGTCAGAGTACATAACTTGCTATGATCTTCAGC